GCCCCAAATGTCTCCACAGGAAGGTTTTCTCAGATTTAGCACACTTTTGGGGGCATTTTGGTTCTCAAACTATACTACAAGTACGTACACAAACATGGTTAACTGTAGCTGCATGTCCAATCTGGCACATGCCCGTCAGGATTAGGGCAAACACTGCCAGAATCCTGTCTGTCTGGAACGTTCCTGTAAAGGGAGCCAACAGTCTCAACAAGCATAGAGTTGGGGTTGTAATATTTGATGTTGTGTATGTGTGAGTCAGACAGAACACTGAAAACACACACACGCACATTTACGACAAAGTAAATTATGCATAATGTACCCAACTTCATGCTACCAAAGAGTAAAAAAGGGAAGTAGACTAAGATAGAAAAGATTTGTTCCATGCACAGTTGAGTTATATGATATATAATTCAGTGTTACCTTAGCAGAATTCCCTCAAGAGGTGTTGAGTGCGGCTGTATCAGGTGAGATGATGTGGCATTAGAAAAGCTTGACAGGCGTTGTCTGATTGTACCAGTCAAGACACATACTTGCATCAGTCAGTCTTTAATGTGTCACTTCAGAGGAAGAGAAATGTAATTTGAGTTTTATTTATTTGTTTACTTCGTTCTTGCCCACTTTAACCTCTGCTTATGCAAAAACATATACATATACTGTATCATATAAGTCTATGGTGTTGAATCTAATATTTAATTAAATTTTAAGAAAATGTATTTATTTCCCTCACGTTCTGGCCCTGTTTAACTGCATCATATGGTTCTGTGGTGTTAAATGTAATATTTAGTTCAGTGTTATTTATGTATGATTGTATTTATTTACTTCATTCTTGCCCAGTTTAACCTCTACATATACATATATCATACAAGTCTGTGGTGTTGAATTTAATATTTAGTTCAGTGTTCAAAATATTTATTTATTTATGGTTCTGCAAATATGTAGATAGGTATGTAGATATATCATACAGGTCTGTGGTGTTGAATTTAATATGTAATTTAGTGTTATCAGGGCTCCAGACTGCGACCATTTTTTCTGCTAACCTCTGCTTATGCAAAAACATATACATATACTGTATCATATAAGTCTATGGTGTTGAATCTAATATTTAATTAAATTTTAAGAAAATGTATTTATTTCCCTCACGTTCTGGCCCTGTTTAACTGCATCATATGGTTCTGTGGTGTTAAATGTAATATTTAGTTCAGTGTTATTTATGTATGATTGTATTTATTTACTTCATTCTTGCCCAGTTTAACCTCTACATATACATATATCATACAAGTCTGTGGTGTTGAATTTAATATTTAGTTCAGTGTTCAAAATATTTATTTATTTATGGTTCTGCAAATATGTAGATATACATATACATATATCATACAAGTCTGTGGTGTTGAATTTAATATGTAATTTAGTGTTATCAGGGCTCCAGACTGCGACCATTTTTTCTGCCGGTGCGACTAAATTTTGTGAGCGGATGCTCTGTCGCGACCACCGCATTCTTCAACTCGCGCTGCCATTTCTGTTGTATATGAGAGACATCAAACGGCAAACGAAACAAAAGCGTAACAAAATCCTGCTACTTGTTTGAGCTGCGCAGCATGGACCGTTTATCAACTCGGACCGCAGCACAAACAAACTTTTCCGAGCTCAGAATAGCTTTACTCGGGAACCAAAGTTGATTTCGCAACACTGTTACAGCACAGCTCTGCGAGATCGAGTGAGAAGCGTTTGAATTCACCGCAGAATGAATAAAGGTTGCTGCGAGATCTAGTGAGATGCATTCAAATTCTGCACAGAATTCTCTGTTATAAACAGCGCTGACGTACGTTAGAAAGCCAGAAGCAGTAACGCTAACTGTAACTATGGTGTTGTGGTCGAAATAGTCGAATGTTATTACATTATTCATTTCAGGGTTTGTACAACCTTTTGAGAGAGAAATTCAAGTACTTTTCAATGACTTTCAGGCAATTCACAGCACTTTAAAGCTCTAAAATGATCCAATTTGAATATATATTTTTTAAATGTATGGGATGACCAAAATATACTGTGGTGACCAAACACTTATGTAAAATAAAAAAATACATCAAGTCACCATTATAACCTGTACATGGAAGCAGAGGAGCACTTATTAGTCATTCATTTATACTTTTTCCTTTATATTTTAAAATTATAAAATCACTATTGTAAAATATCAAATCAT